CGGCAATGTACTTGGTCTTTGCACAGGCAATCCGTTGGACGAGGTTGAGGCGGAGTTGCGAGGTGTTCGTGACGCAGTCAGTGTCGACGATCGTGTCGATGACGTCGAGCGGCGCGAGCTTCTTCCTGAGGTGCGCGGTGAGCTCCTTTTTGCAGGCTTCAGGGTCGCCAAAGAAGGTGCCGACGGCCTTGAAGCAGTCCACTCGCCCCGTGAGTTTGCCCTCCTTGTCGCGGTGCGCGGGCGAGCCCCGGAGCCAGCCCGGCGCGCACGAGAGGTCGCCCTCGGGCGAGTAGATGAGCGACTTGCTGACGCCGTCGAAGACGCTCGCTCCCTGCTTCTGCGCCTCGAGGAGGCCCTTTGATCCGGAGTAGGCGGCGACGGCGCGCGAGGGCTTGTTGTCTTTCGATCGCTCCGCGTCGAGTAGGGATGTACGTCGTGTGCGTGTCTGGTGTCCATTATACATAGCTCCGAGTAGCGAGTAGAGGGGGCACTCCGCAGCTAGGGGAAACCCAAAGCGCAGACCAACCCTCGGAGAACCGTGTTTACCGGGTAAATTTATTTTTAGTAAAATTCTTTTTAGAGGACTGTCGCCCCCAGCGGCCGCCAAAAAGGTGGCTGTGACGACGTCGGTACCGTGATGGACGCGAAGACTCCCGAAGGGCGCGATCGGCGTCAGCACGCAGCCCGCCAGGCGAAGAGGCGTGAGCACCGCGGCCGCCTCGCGGCAGAACTGGAGTCGACTGCGCGCCGTGTTCGCCGCCGCTCCAAGACTGCATCGCGCGCCCCGCAGGCTGCTCCGCCTCGCGCCTTCGCGCTCCTCGCGTGTCTCTTCGGCGACGGCTGCTTCCTTGCCAAGTACGTCCTCGGTGCCGTCGAGATCGCCGCCGCGCTCAAGCCGCCGTGGTCTCTCTGGATCGCAATCGACGACGCGGCCAATCGCATCTGGGGTGAGGCGCTTCGCCGCCTGCCGAACGTGCACCTCGTGCGCATCGCACCGCCGAGTGTGGAGGGGTGTGGGACCGGCGACGAGGCGCAGCAGCCACGGCAGCGCCCAAAGCGGACCGCAGCGACGGCCACCGCCGCCATCAATGGCGCTGCCGCAGCGCTTCGCGAGTCGGCTCTCACCGCGACCAACAACGTGCCGCACCTGCTAGCGCGCTACGTGCTGCTCGACGACCCGCGCCTCGCAGCCGCCGTGGTCGTCGACCTCGACGTCCACGCGGTCGAGGCGGTGAGTGGGCACATGGCGCTCGTGCGCCACGCGTCGGAGTTGCTCGACGATCGCCTAAAGACGCGGCGGATCTGGGCCGCGACGGACCTGCTGCGAGACGAGGGCGGCAACTCGCAGCAGCGCCTGGAGCGCACGAGCGGAGGCGTCGGGCGGTACAACGCCGGTGCCATCTTCATGGCCAATGCGCTCGACGGCGCCGTCGAGGCGAAGATCGCACCAGGGATCGAAGCATGGGTGGCGAGCCACGCCGAGGCCCTGGGTCACGGGTGCGACGAGCGGTGGCTCGAAGATGCAGAGCACGCGCCGCTTGTGCCTGCTCTCACCGACGGCCGCGCGGTCTCCGTGTACGTCGACGGGCTGCGCCATGGCGGCGAGAGCACTCTGCCGCGGACACACGCGACCGGCCGCCAGCGGTACTGGTGCCTCGGCGAGAGCAGCCTGGGGCTGCGCGGAAGCGGCTTCGACGCGTCCGCTGCGGCGGCGGCCATCTGGCGACTGACGGCCGCCGCCCTGGATGCACCGGCACGCGCCGCCCACGACGAGCTGACAGGCCCGAGCACGAGGGAGCTCACCTTACCGTGGCTGCCTGCACACACATCGGGGGTGACGCGCGGCAGCTGACCGTGGCGCCGCCGCGCCGAGACGCTCCGCGTCAAGCTCTGGCCACATCAAGATGTGCGCCAGCGCTGGCGCGCGGGGCGCTGCGGGAGCCACGCTCGTGCGCACACATGTGTCGCTGGCGCTCTCCCTGCTGCGTGCCCCCGCTGCAGCTGCTTCCTGCGGTAAAGCCGTAGAGCGACGGAGATTCGCGTGACTCACAGGGGTCGACGTGCGGGGTCGACGTGCGGGGTCGACGTGCGGGGTCGACGTGCGGGGTCGACGTGCGGGGTCGACGTGCGGGGTCGACGTGCGGGGTCGACGTGCGGGGTCGACGTGCGGGGTCGACGTGCGGGGTCGACGTGCGGGGTCGACGTGCGGGGTCGACGTGCGGGGTCGACGTGCGGGGTCGACGTGCGGGGTCGACGTGCGGGGTCGACGTGCGGGGTCGACGTGCGGGGTCGACGTGCGGGTTCGTTCGACGTGCGGGTTCGACGTGCGGGTTCGTTCGACGTGCGGGTTCGAAGTGCGGGTTCGACGTGCGGGGTCGACGTGCGGGGTCGACGTGCGGGGTCGACGTGCGGGGGCGACGTGCGGGGTCGACGTGCGGGTTCGTTCGACGTGCGGGTTCGACGTGCGGGTTCGTTCGACGTGCGGGTTCGAAGTGCGGGTTCGACGTGCGGGTTCGGGTTCGACGTGCGTGCGTGTCCGTCGGTGCGTGCGTGTCCGTCAGTGCGTGCGTGTGTCCGTCGGTGCGTGTCCGTCGGCGCCTGGGCCAGTGCAGCAGCAAACTACAGCAGACGGTCACCGTGGTCATGTCCATTTCAAAAAAAAGGAGCGGGTCATCCCCTGCAGAGCTCACCTGCAACTCCTCCGAGTGTTTTTCACGGCGTCCAAACAAGAGCCAGGATATCGCCGAAGGCACGAGTGAGGGCACGCTTGTCCGAACAAGAGCGGCGGCAGGCACATCGAACGCAACGTGGACTGCACCGCCGGCTTCTCAGCGGGCGCCTCAGCGGCCCCACCCCCGCCGCCGCACGTACCGTCCGCCGCGACGGACGCGGCATGCGGTGAAAATCGAGCCCGCGTCGCTGCGCCAGGTGGCAACCAGCCGCGCTGCATGCGTCCTCCCCGCCCGCTGCCGCGGCACGCGCGGGCCAGCGGACGTGGCACCGTGCTCTCGCGGCGCCTTCTCCTCCACGGTCTCTCCTGCTTCAATAGGGTTGTCGGCGCCACCCGATTCAGCTCGAGCATTCAAATCAATGGCAACCACCTCTGACACTTCTGTGCGGATCCTCGAGGCTCGAACCCACCACGGCGCGTCAGCGGAGGCGCTCCCAAGGCCCGGTTTCTGAAGCGCAATCTTGATCTGGCCGAGAATGATCCAAATCTCGAGGAAGTCGGCCCTCTCAATGCACTGCTCCAGCGCTCGTATGAGCAGCTCCTCCGCCTCGGCACACCCGCAGCACGAGGAGAGGAAGACGGGCGGCATCGCGATCCCGAATTGGGATTCGGGCGCGAGTAGAAGCTCCTGCCACTCGCTGCGCAGCTCCAAGCCCTCAACTCCTGCCTCGCGCTGCCTCCGCAGCGTGAGGTACGCGTCGTGCTCGTGCTCCCGCTTGACCGTTTGGTGTGCCTCGACGCGGCCGGGTAGCAGCAGCTCGCGTGGCATCTGCAGGCGGTGTCCGCGCGCGTGCGAAGGGCAGCGTGCGGCGGCCTCACTGCGCATCAACCGTCGCACCATGCTGTCAGATTGCCACTCTCTCGACCGAGGTGGGGCTCAAGCCGCTTGAGAGCGTACTCATAGCTGAAACCCCAATTTTGTGTCGCCCGAAGATGGACGGCCGCATGTATTCTGTCTTTTAGGTTCGTACTGGGAGAGAGAAGAGAGAGAGGTTGTGTGCTCTAGGCCCCTAAGGGCCCTACGCGCGGCGTGAGAGCTCGGAAGCGAGCTTTGAGAATTTTCAATGTACGTACTTTTAGCTTACTGGGAGAAAAGAGAGAGGGGGTTGTGTTCTCTAGGTACTGCTACCTACTGGGAGAAAAGAGAGAGGGGATTGTGTACGTACTTTTATCTTACTGTGAGAAAACTTTTAGCTTACTGGGAGAAGAGGGAGAGGGGGTCGTGTTCTCTAGGCCCCTAAGGGCCCTACGCGCTGCGTGAGAGCTCGGAAGTAAGCTAAAAGTACGTACAAACAAGCAGAGAGCTTACTAAAAGTACGTACAAGCAGAGAGAGAGCCCTCTCCCTTTTCTCCCAGTACGTACAACAAAACTCCCTCTCACGACACAGGGCACGGGACTGGCGCACTGGCACTAACACGGATACGCTACGGGAGCCGCGACTCTTGCGAGGGCGGCGAGGCACTTAGCTCCGTGCACTCGCCCGCCCCCGCCACAGGCAAGCTCATTCACAATCTGGTCTGCGAGAAAAGGGAGAGGGGGTTGTGTACTCTCTCAGTGTACGAACGTTTAGAGGGAATACGACGAGAGACATCGCGCAGAGAGATAAAGAGGTGTGGGGCGGGGGAAAGTTTCTGAACGGCCGCGCACGCACAGCGTGCCGGCTTACTAAGGAGGTCCCTCGCCCCGGAGTGGCCAGCTGACGGTCAGAGTTCGTGATTGAATTGTAACAATGATTGTAATCACGATCGATGCGAGGACGCAAGTCCACCAAACTCGGCCATTCCAACGGCCAGACCGCTCGCTTAAGGCTGATTGGCTAGACGAGCGGTCTACCTCCAACGGGGCTGACTGGCACGAAGAGGAGAGGTCATCCGGATGTGGCGGGACGCCGCCGGGCACCTGGTTGCTCTCCTCCGCCAGACAGCCCCTCCCGACGGGGACGCCACAACCCTCGCCCAGGGATCTACAATGCTGTCTTAAGGTCCGACCTGTGGGCTCTGCCTGCGCTCGGCACCGGGCACCGCCTCGGTATACAAAATGCGCCTGCGGGCGGACCCTTACAGATCACAGATCACAGATCACTCAGCGGGCAGCACTGCTCACGGAAGAGCTCTCGCCAGACAAGCCACACGTCTCCATTATGCGCTTTGTACTCGGGTCTCGGGTAGCGCCCCCCCCCCCCCCCCCCCCGAGGCCGGTTACTGATGGTAATTTGATAGACTTCACCCACACACAAGCCAGGTGGTGGGGCAAGCTAGGGAGGGACAAGGCACAAACGCGCAATACGGTGTGTGTGTGTGTGTGTGTGTGTGTGTGTGTGTGTGTGTGTGTGTGTGTGTGTGTGTGTGTGAAGTGTGTGTGTGTGTGAAGTGTGTGTGTGAGTGTGTGTGTGTGTGTGTGTGTGTGTGTGTGTGTGTGTGTGTGTGTGTGTGTGTGCTGGGGGGGGTCACGTCACAATCCTCGTCTGTTCTCCCGCCGGGTTGCGTAGTGCTGCACAACAGCTCGCAGTCGGTCAGCCCCGAGCAAAGAGCTGCGCCGCCGCTGCGATAGGGGTCCCTAATCGACTTCTTGGAAGTGACTGATGTGCACTAGTGGGTGTGGGACCGCTGCGGGCTGAGCTGTCGACCCGTAGGCAATAAAAGGGCCATGGTGCACCATGGGGAGATTGTGGTGCAGCGTGAAGTCGAGGCTGTCAAGGTGTGGCTCCAGACTGACGCGACGCAGATTGACGCGGCGCCTCCTGACAAGGGCACCGCGCCATGCCGCCTGAAGATCCACCACCACGGTGGGGAAGTTGGCTGCCAGGCTGCGTGCGTCCTGGGACAGCACACACGACTTGCTGACGCTGGCAATCGCGACGAGGTTGACAATTGATCGGAAACGCTCGCATATCTCGTGCATGACGTCATCTGGGAGGTTCTCGAACATCGTCATCAGCAGCCGCGCTCGAGCGTGGTGACAGCAGCGGCGCGCGTGTTGTTCACCCGAGTCGTGGGCGGCTAGCCGTCCGCCTTCGCAACCTTATTACTAACTAGTGTGGACCGCGGACCTGCGGCGAGTTGCCTTTTCTCTGGCGGTTGTGTTTTCTTCAAGTAAGCAGGTAACTCACTGATCCTCCACCGGATCCGACTTTCGACAGTGCTGGCAAACCGCATCGCGCAGCCGCACGGAGTCCCCGACAACCACGCACAGCCTCACGCTCACTGTGGTTGAGACTTTCATGCACATGCGCACTCGCAGGTCAGGGTCTCTGGCCACATGCGAAAGGAAAGGCTCATCAGAACGGATTCGTTTGCACGCCGTGCAGAAGCTGGTGAGGTATGGCATGCCAAGATAATCTCCATCGTGATTCCTATCCAACGTGCCATCTCCAGCGAGTGGGGGGCGAGTAGGAGGGCGAGTAGGAGGCCAGTAGGAGGGCGAGTAGGAGGCGAGTAGGAGGGCGAGTAGGAGGCGAGTAGGAGGCCAGTAGGAGGGCGAGTAGGAGGCGGGTAGGAGGCGAGTAGGAGGGCGAGTAGGAGGGCGAGTAGGAGGCCAGTAGGAGGCCAGTAGGGGGCGAGTAGGAGGCGAGTAGGGGGCGAGTAGGAGGGCGAGTAGGAGGCGGGTAGGAGGCGAGTAGGAGGGCGAGTAGGAGGGCGAGTAGGAGGGCGAGTAGGAGGCCAGTAGGAGGCCAGTAGGGGGCGAGTAGGAGGCGGGTAGGAGGCGAGTAGGAGGGCGAGTAGGAGGGCGAGTAGGAGGGCGAGTAGGGGGCGAGTAGGAGGGCGGGTAGGAGGCGAGTAGGAGGCGAGTAGGAGGCGAGTAGGAGGGCGAGTAGGGTAGGAGGGCGAGTAGGAGAGCGAGTAGGAGGGGCGGACCGCGTCTGAGCCGTCAAAGTCGTCCTTGCCACCGTCCGCCTTGCGGCCTTTGCCCGGCGCGAGGAGCAGTATGCAGGCGCACACGGGCAGGTTGAGCGACTGGCCCTCGGGAAGGCCAAAGGAGTAGAGCGTGCTGTCGTAGTTGTACTCCTTCTTCGCAAGCAGCGGCAGCGCGAGCCATGACGTCGGGAGGTAGCAGCTGGAGCAGTGCTCGAGGGGCTCTGACATCGGCGCGAGGAGGCTCGGAAATTTCTTGTTCTTCGGGTTCTGTGGCGACGCGCAGAACATCAACAACTGCTCGCAACACATGCGTGTCGCGCACTAAAACCTCCTTGGGAATGCTCTTGGGATTTGGCACGTGGGTGCTGGGGGGGGCGACAGGGAGGATGTGGCCCTGAGTTATGTGTACGCCAACTAACTCTGGGTGTGTGGCAGCCAGCTGTGGCTGTGTGTCTTGTGAGCCTGTTTGTGTCTGTGTGTCGCTCGTGAGAGAGAGAGAGAGAATTCTTGATACGAAACCACGACGACACACACCAGTCGACTCGCATCGGTTGCCTCCATGAACGGCGGAGCTATTCTCGCGCCCACACCACACCTGGCTCCAACGTGGACACGCCCATAGCTGGGGACACTACTAGGTCACGCATGGCATCACAGAAGTTTTATCTCTGGGCCCCGAAAGGCATCTCTAGCAGTGTCGTTACACTCTCTCTCTCTCTCTCTCTCTCTCTCTCTGTCGCTCGTGCGTGCCGTCATCATCTGTCGAGCGTCCACCCATACCGCGTTGGTGTCCAGTCCGAGCCTGACTGTTCTTCACCTTTCTTGAGCACTTGAAATTCGGTACGGCAAATGTTCGTCAAAGGGAAGAAAAGAAACACATCACGCCGCCGTCGCACCGACAAGCACCGAGGCGAGGCGACCACATGTCCTGGCTGCTGATCGCGATCTCCGCCGCGTTTATCGCTGGTCCGTGCTCAGCGCGTCACTGGCACCCGCCTGGTGCTCTGAATCCGCGTCCGCGCCTGGCGGTCGCCTGTGCCACAGACTCGAAGGGCCTCGGCGTCGCTGACGTGGCCGCTGCGGACGCTGCTGCGGATGGTGGTGTCGCCGCCACAGCAGCCGCAGGCTGGCGCGGCCCACTGCATGCTGCTGGCGTCCTATGGCGCTTCTCGAGGCCGCACACCCTCATCGGCTCCGCCCTGTGCATCCCCGCACTCTCTCTGTACGCCGCGCCGCCCGGCGCCGCCATCTCGAGTGCAGTGTTCGTGCCGCTGGTGCTGTACGCGATGGTGCCCTCCCTGCTCGTCAACGTGTACATCACCGGGCTCAACCAGCTCTTCGACATCCCCATCGACCGCGTCAACAAGCCCACCCTGCCCCTCGCCTCCGGCGAGATGTCGCCGGCCGTTGGCGCAGCCACGGTGCTGCTCTGCCTCGCCGGCGGCCTCGCCCTCGGCTGGGCCTTCCCGCCGCTGTGCAGCCCGGCGCTGCGCGCGACGCTGTGCGGCTCGGCCCTCCTCGGCACCGCCTACTCCTGCCCGCCAGTCCGCCTCAAGCGCTCTCCCCTCCTTGCCTCGCTCTGCATCATGTCGGTGCGCGGCGCACTCATCAACTGGGGCTTCTTCGCGCACGCGGCGGAGGCGTACGGCGCGTCGGTGTCGACGGCGGCGCTGCAGGCCTGGCGCTGCGCCGGCCCGGTCGCCTTCTTCACACTGTTCGGTGCGCTCACACCCACACAGACGTGGGCACAGACGGATATACACACAACACACGCACGCAAAATGGCACACGCAAACACTCGCCTCCGACTCGACGTGGCGCGCAGGCACCGTCATCGCCCTCGTCAAAGACGTGCCAGACGTGCCCGGCGACGCGCGGTACGGCATCCGATCCTTCTCTGTCCGCGTCGGCCAGGCGCGGGTCCTCTCGCCGCACCTCGCCGCACCTCGCCGCATCTCTCACGGCTTCTTCCTCGGCCAGGCGCGGGTCCTCTCGCTCGCGACCGCTCTGCTCGGCGCTACGCTCGCGGCGGCGGCTGCCGCACTCGGCGTCGCCTCCGCCTCGGCGGCGGGGGGGGGAGCGTGGCTCGCGAGTGCGCGCCGCGCAGCCGTCGCCGTCGCGGCGGTGTGCGCGGCGCGGGCCGTGGCGCGCGAGTCCGCTGCGGTGGAGCCGACCGACGGGCCGTCGGTGTACGCCTTCTACATGAGGCTGTGGAAGCTGTTCTACGCCTCGTACGCCTGCCTGCCCTTTGCGCGATAGAGGGCGCTCGTTGGGGGGGAGGCGTTCGAGCTCGCGCCGCCCCCCTCTCCTTCCCTTCCACGCGCTTATGTCCACGACCTCCAGCGGGGGAGGGATACGTCGACACATCTCAACAGCTACGTACGAGTAGCT